TCTTTATCTAACCTTCACTAGATTTTACCAGAAATAAGTGACGTATCACATGTAAAACTCTTAAAGCGGCTGACGATGTCCTAGAAAAATTAAGTGTAATTAAAAGATCATTTTTCATATAAAAATATATAGTTTTGTAATTTTTGCAATTATATATATTCCCCCTTTCAAAACTGAAACCCTGAAACCTTTTAATGTTCATTGAATTAAGTTTTTTTTTTTTTTTTAGTATTATTGACTCTATTACAACAGTATATGTTCAATATACTTTCTCAAATAGTTGTAGCTCAAAGAGTCAATACCCCACCACCGGAGTTCGATTATGTGACTTTCCCTCTAGTATAACCACCATGAAATAAATATATATTTTTGAGTACTATTTACTATGTTATAATGTAGTATCTATTCATAGCTACTTTCTCGACATACTTAAGTACAAAGAGTCAATAATGCCCCACTGAACTCAAATTTTAGAACATAAGGTAATTTAGTATTACTGTAACTGCCGCTAAATAACCACCGGAGTATTTGGTATAGTAAAAATATTCCTGAAAATATTATAAAAAGAAAGCAGAAATTTCCTTGACTTAAAGGAAGGAGGGTCCAGGAATAAAGAAGTGAAGCTCTTTTCAAGGTAAAAACCCCACAATGATGTGATTCACTACCAAATGGGTAGGCAGCGAATATAATCATCTGCGTTGTTTTTTGTTTTTTCCTTTTTAGGTAACACACAAAAATTCGTGCTTTTACTAAAATTATTCAACTTTTTATTTTCATTCTATGTTTGTACTTTGTAACTTAGAAAAATGTACTGTATAAGGAAAGTTATTTCTGTTTTTCTTTCTCCGATTAAGTTTTCATTTCTACACAAGAATGGAGAAATTTTTTCAATTATCAAATATAAACATTAAAGTTTGGTTGTGTTTACTTCAATTTTTTAATTTCCTTTCTTTCAGTTTTTCAATTTTCGATCACTATCCATTTTCAAGTTGGAGAAATGTGCATTTAAACACTTTTTTTTCTCAGCTTTTCATTTGTAAAAGCTAAACAAAAATTTTATTCCATTAGTAAATGCAACCATTCATTGCAAAAAATGGTGTTAATGACAATAATGGAAGTGCAAAATTTCTACGACAATACTTCTGTGAATTTCTAATTGATGGATGCATTATATTACGTATCAACTAAAAGTAGACTCGATAGTTGGATTGCATATTTATGTTTTATATATTATGTCCACAACACTTTTCTTCATGCATGCAATTACTTGTTTTTTTATGAGCTCCAAACTCATGACATTTTGCATATTTTAATTTATTGATAAGATAAAACACTCATTAAGTTATTATAATATATATATATATATATATATATATATATATATATATATATATATAACTTGAGAAGTGTTTATCTTGCCAATAAATTATTAAAAGAACCAAACATTTAAAAATATCGAAACATATTTATAATTAATGCATGGTATATGTTATGATATCATAGAGTCATATAAGGACGAAATACAATTATTACATATATGTAAATCAAATTAAAACATGATATGATAGCCTTACCAGAAAGTCTTTGGCTAAATTATAGTCCATGTATGATTCTTTTATCGCGACAAAGTCATTGTCACCAGATGTCCAAAAGGTAACATAACATGCTAGACAAAAGGTGACCGCTAGCTTCACATCATTGCTCGTACACAACAAATAATACAAAAGAATTCATTTATTGCCACATTTTTTTAATGTTTATTAAACCGCTCTAAGAAGTAAGAATGTCTTGTGTGACAAGTTCGACAAAAAAAAAAATACTGATAAAAATATAATTAAACTTATAATCATACATATACAAGAATCATGCTTCACCCCACAGTCACCATTTCTAGGATAATTTGTTCGTTATTGACACTATTTATTCGGAGTAGGTATTGTATAAGACCGTCTCACCTAAGACGTGTATAGTAATACCTTTTAGTTAAAATGTAATATATTTCTATAGATCCATAAAAATTATTACATTTAAAGTAAAAAGTAATACACGTCTATGTATAGTAAGACGGTCTTACACAAGACTTATTTATTTATTAGTGATCTTTATTATTAATAGCTATAGATATAATAGAAAACATACTTCTTTGATACCGAAAACAACATCCTGTCAAATGATAAATGTAAGTCAGTTGTCCGCACGCACAACTCAGTTGGTCACATGATGAAGTTTGGGAACAATGACCTAGGTTAGAGTCTCACAAGTGTCAGTATGGAGCAACCTCTCAAAGTGAGGGGAGACTCATTGTGCGTGGTAAGTAAAGGTCTACCCTCTGTGTTTAGTTGAGTTACCATGATTTACATAATTTTAAATGCTATATATGTCGGGTTGGGACATAATTTACATCATCTCAAATATTCTGTCGGACTGGTACGTGCATGAGGATCCTTGGGGAGTCAACTTTTTCGAAACAATAAATGTAAGTCAGCTGATTAAAATTAGAGATTCAAGTTTCATCGAGTCATTTTAACGTATTGTAATTGTTTCTGTGATAATATTGACATTTAAATATTTAATAAAGTATCGGTTGTACTTTTCTCATTATTGATTGAAAATGATGCAAATTGTATATATTATATTGTATGACGGTTAATTTAGTTGAAAAGGATTTGTTTTCGTCAGTCGCTTTCTTGTATGGTTTGATAATTGATAGATGATGAAAAACATTATTTTTATCAAAGCATAGTTGTTCTCGTTGTTGAAAATCTCATAAACACTCACATACATACATGCATACTTGTAAGCATGCATGCATGCACGTACATATATATGTATGTGAGGATATTTAAAATTTTAATCATATCAATTAGTTAAGAGAAAGTAAAAAATAATATGCAATAAAACTACCTATTATTTCCTTTATTTGCAAATAGGTATAGTAGTTAGAAATTGAAAATTGAGAGCTTTTAATCTATTTGATTCGAGTTAAAAGTATTTAGTAAAATTAGTTGTTTAACAATCTAAGTATCTAACAAATGGCCAATTACATGTATGTAATGGCATCCCGGCTCGGTTACTATTCCAAATGAGTGGTCATAGGTTTGAACCTCGGTAGTGATGGAAGTTTAGATTCTTTATGCTGAAAATGTTTGAGAAAGTATATAAAAACCTGCATATACTACCCGTCTACCTTGAAATGGAAGAGACTCATTCATCATTAACCAAATGTCAAAGGTAGGATTTGTAAGTATATAAAAAACCATATACTACCCTTCTACCTTGAAATGGAAGAGAGTCATTCATCATTAACCAAATGTCAAAGGTAGGATTCGTCTTAGCTTGACTTTGGGTATGAAGCAGTCTTAAATCTCCAGACCAGCAGAAATACCTACAATCAATTTAGCGAGGGAATTAGTCACTGTGCCCGATGGTGGAAATCTTGGGCTACACCCACAAAAACCTTATAAAATTCATGAGTATTTCAAAAAATAAAAAATAAAATCTAACAAATGTAAAAAATAATAATAAAAAAATATTGTGATTTACCACCTCCACAAATCATGTTTGACCAGGTATAGGCCCCTGGGGCGAAAGATGTTACCTTTCGTGGACAAGAATGGAAAGAGGGTAGAGTGTTATTTATATTAATTAATAAGAATAAAGTGGGAAAAACAACTAAAAGTCTTGTTTTTTCTTGATAACTAAGATTATTTGACATCTTGGATTCCATGAATCCGCTATAGGCCTATGAAAAGGTCAATCGAGCTAATCTAACTTCGAGACGAAATACCAAACTATACATTTATACACACAAAGAGTCTAACAACAACATTTTCCAAATCCGCAATGTCTGTGACAATAATCAAATTCTCGCTCTGTTGTTGGAATTGAAGCAAGTCTTAAGTGAACTTGTCATCCACTAGACCGATACCTTGAGAGCTGAATTTATATTTTAAACGCTACTCCGTATAAAATATAGTATTCCCTATTTTCAATAAGACTTCATTTAATAAAATATTATTGACCTTGAGAGCTGAATTTATATTTTAAACGCTACTCCGTATAAAATATAGTACTCCCTATTTGAAAATAAGTTAAAATAAGACTTCATTTAATAAAATATTATTGTTTATTTATAATTTAAAATAAATAATAAATTCTGCTAAACATAAAGGGCTTTTTTTTTTTTGCCAAAGATGCAACTTGCAAGGTAGCTAAGAGGAGGGATTAAATTTTAAATTATATTTTTCTTCTACCTTATAACTTTGTGTGTAATCCTGCTAAACTATATGTGTAATTCATGTAATATTGTTGTCTAATGTCTATAAGTTAATTTCTGTGCACTTTACTATTTGTTCATGTGCAATCCTGCCGTTTTTGTGGGAAGAAGTGGATGTACTTGAACGCAAGCATATATATGTGTGTGTCTGTTTTTTTTTTTTTTTTTTTTTTTGGTTATAAGTTTGTATAATGTTATATAAGTTTGTGGTTGATTGGTTGATAATAACTATTTTATTATTGTGGGAGGTCTAGAGATCAAATCTATTATGTATGATAGTTTTTAAATGTTGAAATAGTTAATAATTGATAATAAATAAGGAAAATTGTATTTTTGGTCATTCAGTTATACTCGTGGTACAAATTTAGTCTCTGAATTATATGTCTTGATCATCTTTAATTTAATTCCTAAGTTACACACTGAGTGACTAAAACTTGGAGACTGTTTTTACCACTAATTTGTCAGTTAATAAAGTAGTTAATTTGGTGTTTTAAGGATTAAAATCGTCACTCCATACATAATTTAAAGATTAAAATCCTTATATCTAAAGATAAAAACTTACCAATATCTTAATTAAAAAAAAAAAAAAAAAAAAAAAAAAGTCACCACCGCCGGTCCTCTTTATATATGTGTGTATCGCCTCATTCTCGTCTTCGTTCAAGAAACAAATTAAAGTTCCATCATATATCCCCTAAATCTCTAACACTAATTCATATATAATATAATGGGGATAGCAAAGACAAGCTCCATTGATAGAATGAGCGAGAAAATCCCCGTGATTGACCTTTGTGGGGAGAGGTCAGAGGTGTCAAGCCTCATCGTGAATGCCTGCGAAGAGTTTGGGTTCTTCAAGGTGATCAACCATGGCGTGGGCGAGGATGTTGTGAGGAGAATGGAGGACCAAAGCTTCCATTTTTTCCGTAAACCGGCCTTTGAAAAACACAAATTAGCCGCCCCGCCGGCTAACCCTTATGGCTATGGCTGCAAGAATATAGGCTTCAATGGAGACGTTGGAGAGGTGGAGTATCTCATTCTTCATGCCAACCTTCTCTCTCTTGCTCAAAAATCCAATCTCCCACTCAACTTAAGGTACTATATATTTTTCTATAATATATAAAGCTATAGGCCGGGTATGTTCAGTAAATCATCGGAGTTTAAAATAATAGCTTAATTATTTTGGAACGCTACATTACACAGCGTTTCAAAATAAGTAATACTTACTAGCTTTTAAGTTTTCAATTTTCAATACCTACACTAAGTGGTTTTTAACCGTTGTCTATGTGCATTTTTTTGTAGCGCTAATTTGTAAGCTAGGTATGTCAAATAGAACCTATATATATTAAACTTTACTTTTATAAACATATAGAATGAACATTTTGAATATACTATAAACTGAATGAAAATAAATATGATATAGATTTAGTTTGGTATTTATGGACATTAACATTTATGTTTTTAGGCATATAGAATAAATAAATATTATAAACATAGTACAAGATTAATGTTATTAAACATGATGCACTTGTAGTATAATATTTATGTACATTAAGTTTTGCTCATATGAATGTATAGAATGAACAGTATGAACCTACTATAAAAATAGAAATACATATATATGTTTACTTTTAGTTAATGTTTGTGGACATTATGGTTTAGATTTATGGATAATAGAACAAATATTATGAATATAGTACATGATGAATGTTATTAAACATGATTCATATGTTATATATATAATGTTTATATACATCAAACTTTGTTTTTATAAACATATAGAAGGGACATTATTAATTAACTTACTATAAAATGAATAAAAAATACATATAATGTACATTTAGTTTAGTATTAATAGACTTTAATTTTTAGATTTATGGATATATAAAACAAATAGTATGAAAATGATACAGAATGATGTTATAAAATATGATGCACTAATTGATCCTTAAAATAAAAAGATATTATTTTACATCAGGGTCCACTATGCACAACCTGATCCATGATATAATTTGTACAGGATACAAAGTTAACATTCTCCTCACTTTTTTTTCTTAGATTTTATATAACAGTTATCAGGGCTGATAACTGATAAGCAATATAATGTAGACTTATGTAAGTTCAAATCATTTTAAAAATTTTAAAAAGAGAAGTTAATAAATAATTTTTAATTTAGAAAGAGAAACATTTTTTTCTTAAATAAATTAATTTTTACATTGGAGGCTAAAATAATGGTCTCTACAAATCCTATAAGAATCTTGATGGATAAGATAAATTACCGGATATATTTTGATGACTTAAAAATTTCTCATAATATTTATACATAAATATTTACTATATTAATAGATCAAATTCATATATCCCTACTAATAAAAGAACCACAGACTCAGGTTAAGTTCAATTTTTTTTTAAATAATAATAATTTAAGGGGGGTTGGGAGAATTCAAGTTGTAGGTCAGTAGGTGTAACCTTGATATAGACACTATTGTAATTAGGCTAACATTCTAAAAGTTGGCGAATACATTTTGCTATCCACTTCAAAGATTCGGTGATGCATCCTTAGTGTGCATATAATTATTGATCGACTTAAATAAAAAATTTTATTAAATTGTTTTCGCTGAAAATCAAACTTAAAATAAATAATCTAACTAACTTATGTTGAAAATTTTTATAATCATTTTTAAATGTATTTATTGTTATTATTATTTTAAATAATAAATTAATTTATCATTATTTTTGTAAAATAACTCATTTTTTCATTATCACACGTGACAACAACAACAACAACAACAACAATAATAATAATAATAATAATAATAATAATAATAATAATAATAACTCTTAATAGTACATTTAATAGTCAAAGACGTTAGCTTGTGGTCGAGCGATATGAATTCTAGTGAAGACATTAACTCTTTATATTTCAGTAAATTGAAAAAATGTATAACCATATATTATATTGTATCATAGTTATACTAAAAAAAAAGAAAAAAATACAATACATTTAACATTATCTCACTCTTTTTTTCCTAGTATGTGGTTTCGTCGAAAAAAGAAAATGTTATATATAGGTGTACGATGTGACTAAAAATAGACATTAGGGAAGAGTACAAATAAAAACAAAATCTTGCCCTATCAAATCAAGATTTTATCACTGTAACATATTATCCATGAAGCAATTAATGCCTTCTACTGTTCCACAGTCCACACCCATACTAAAAATGGCAGGGCCACGGGCCACGGGCCACCTGAACGTAACATAATGGTCGGACGACACATAATTGCTACAATATTCTTTTTGATGATATGTTTTTTTTTTTTTTTTTCTTTTGGATAATGTGATAATTTTGTTTTTATAATTGATAAATTATATAAACTACATGTTAGAGATAAATTACACTAAAAAATAATTTGTGTAACTGTGATGATTGAAATAATGTTGACAAGATATTTTGTTCAAACTTTAAAATTGGTGTGCACATTTTATGATATTATTATTTTCTACTTTGTCAAAAAAGTTGTGTTGAAATTTACCTTGTATTACTTTTTGGTCAACAGCTCAGCAGTAAAAGGCTACGTAGAAGCACTTGGGGAGTTGGCATGTAAGATATTGGAATTGATGGCTGAGGGTTTGCATATACAAGAGACTTCAGTGTTCAGCAACCTCATCAAGGATGTTCAGAGTGATTCTATATTTAGACTCAATTATTATCCACCTATTTCTAGTACTACCTCCTTGACACCTACTTTTAATGATATAGTTGGATTTGGAGAACATACTGACCCTCAGATCTTGACTATTTTGAAATCAAATGATGTTGCTGGCCTACAAATCTCATTTAAGGATGGTGTGTGGATCCCAATCTCTCCCGAGCCCCGCTCTGGCTTCTTTGTTAATGTGGGTGACATGTTACAGGTACGCAATATTTTTAAATCCCATAATCTAAATACATTTAAATAATATATATGCATCTATATATACTTTAAATTTAACCACATACATCATATGATTAAGAACAAATATATGTTGTTAAGACTTAAGAGACTTTCTATTATGGATAATGCAGACTAATCTTAACACGTATATCATATTTATTTATGTTTGAAGGTATTGACAAATGGACGGTTTATGAGCGTAAGGCATAGGGTGATGGTGGGATCATTGAAAACGAGGATGTCAATGATGTATTTTGCAGCCCCAACATTCAACACAACAATTAGTTGTCCATCTAAATTAGTGACGCCAGAAAATCCTCGTCTGTATCGAGCATTCACTTGGGCCGAGTATAAGAAAACTACCTATTCAAGAAAGTTAGGTGATAACCGCCTTCATTTTTTTCGGGTAGAATCCAATGATCTTGGTAAAATTATATAATAATAATGATCTACTATATGTAATTTGTAATGGATTCTAATCTATTGGATCACTAGGAACATATATTTGCCTAAGTAACCAAGTGTTGCAAAATGTTAGGAGGGGAAAATAAGAATCAAATCACTTGAGGGTGTACCCATTAATAAGCTTATATAAGCAATCTGAGTATATGATAAAACTTAATTATTGAATTTTTATGTATCTAGCTGTAATTATTTTGACCAATCAACTCAAAATAAGTTCAAATTCGGTATAGATTTAACATTGTTGTTGATACTAGTGTACAAGCATTTTTTAGGGTCGTGTACTCGTGTAGACCAGTTGAGGTACGTCAAATTATTGTGTGGACTATGGTCCACACAGTGTTGTATGGACCATAACAAAAAATACATTTTTAATATACTAAATGATAGTAAATGTACATTATTTTTGTACTGAATGTACATTATATAATATAATGTACACTCAATATACAAATAATGTACATCCCCTGAACACAATGTACATTATTTTTATACTAAATGTACATTATTTTACAGTATACAAAATATGGTCCACACAATAATAATTATTGAGACACACTTCGGTCTTAATTTACTTCCTCTACCCGGCTTTAGAAGCAGTGAGGGCTTTTAAGTTTAATTAAATCCATCAATATTTATATATTTGATGAGATGAAAGGCATAATAAAAACATGCACGATTGATTCTCAGCCAAATATAGCAATAGCTATTATTTTACATACATAATTTGGAGCTCCTCACCAACCAACAAGGAATCTATTTATTATCTCAGTACATTTTGTACGTTCTTGGAAGATTGATTCTCACCCAAATATAGCAAATAGATATTTTAAATACATAATTGAGTTTGCCCTTATTTTTTCTGTTGTGTTGTACGAGTCTTTCTTCACTGATTTCAATCTGGAAATTTGCTCAAAAGCTAATAGTGTACAACCCAATAACGACCCTTATCCATTTGTTGTGTACTTTATGAAGATCAGAGCTGTTAATACTGGTTCAACCCGTATAACAGGTGTTATATATATATATATATATATATATATATATATATATATATATATATATATATATATATATATACATATATATATATATATCTCAAAACATAATAAGTGTCAATACAAGTTATGTCCTTGATTTTTGTCCCTTTTTTATATGCTAATAAATATATACATTTTGCTTTAATTGTTGTACATTCATTTGCATTGGACGAAATCACCCTTACACCGTTATAACACCGTTAGTTAATATATCTACCAATCTTACCATACACCTACATCTATCATATCTTTTTCCTATTTTTAATTATCATTTTATTAAAATTATCATATAACAATTAATTTAATTATAAATTATATTTTAATTAAATATTTATATGAATGTTAAATTATATATGTGTATCGTGTGTATATATATATATATATATATATATATATATATATATATATATATATATATATAATATGTATGTATATTATTTGTGTATCCATATCAATATATCATATATGTGGGTGTTAGCTTAGTATTATTTGTAAATTATTATTATATAAAAATATAATTTTTTTTTTTTGTTTTGATCACTATATTGTTCAAATATATGATAATTCAAAAGTATCATCACTTTAAGAAATTGCAAAACATAATTTTAACTAATTTTTTAAATTTTGTTACTTACAAATATTTTAATATTGGGCATAAGTTTTCGCGCATCGCGCGTACAAAATGCTAGTGTATATATATATATATATATATATATATATATATATATATATATATATATATATATATATATATATATATATATATATATATATATATATATATATATATATATATATATATATATATATATATCCCCTATACTTATATTTGGGAGTTGCCATTTACCCCTAAAAAATGGCACCCCTTGCTTACCATTGATTTCAAATCTAATGGTTGAAATTTTTTGATCTAATTTTTAATTTATTTTTTCATTTTAATTGCCCTCAATTTTTAAAGAAATAACAACTTTACCATTACTTTTTTGTCTTCTTCCTCTTTTTGCCTTGATGTGATCTTTGTCTTCTTTTTTCTCCATCATTCCAACACTCCATTCTTTTCTTCTTCTTCTTCTTCTTCTTCTTCTTCTTCTTCTTTTTTTTTTTAACATTTTTTTTTAGAAAATCACTACATTATTCTAACTAACATCTCCATTCTCTCCATCAAAACCAAATCTAATGTCCTCCCGCGTGTTCCTAATTCAATTCTTGTATATCATATTGGTATCTAAATAACTTATTTATGTATTCTTATTTATTTTGTCATATAACAATTATTTAAAATTATATATATTATTATTTAAAAATTAGGACATACTCGTTTTAAAAATAAAAAATAAAAAATTAGAACATAATAATTGATTGTTGGGCATGACGTTTCGCGTAAAGCGCGTGCCCTCGCCTAGTATATATATAAAGGAGACACTCTAGCAGGGTCGTTCCTGGCCATGCCGGACTGGCGCAACCGCACAGGGGCCCCAATTTTCGGGGGTCCAATTTTTTTAAAAAAATATTATAGATATAGTCTATTATCTTTTATATTTGATAGTTTTTATTTTTTTTTTAAAATTCATAGATTGGTCTTAATTGTAATTGAAAATAAAATTTAAAATGAATTGACATTGAAATTTTGGTGAATAATTTTGTTTTTAAATATGAACTAAAAATGGCACTATTAAATTAATCGATTAATGGATAGTTAGACCACGTGAGTCAACTCAACATGTAATGTTTGCTATGTTGGCAATTCAAGAATACTGACATCTGCATGGTCTTAATCTTTAAACTATGTGATAATGTGATAGGTTTGTGTGTTCCGAATTACTACAAGTATGCTATATCATTTTGCTGTTGAAATAATATGAGTATATGATAAAACTTAATTATTGAATTTTCATGTATCTAGCTGTAATTATTTTGACCAATCTGATAGTTGGATTGCACATTAATGGTTATATGCTCAACACGCCATCTCAGGTGTGCGATGGGTTCCAAGCAACACATGGACTCCGTAGTCGCTTTGGTATGGCTCTGATACCAAATTGAAGCATGTGTTCCATCTCAACTAAAAGCCTAAGCTAATAGTTGGATTGCACATTAATAGTTATATGCTCAACACGCCCCACACGTGTGCGGTGGGTTCCAAGCAACACGTGGATTCTGTAGTCGCTTTGGTATGGCTCTGATACCAAATTGAAGCATGTGTTCCATCTCAACTAAAAGCCTAAGTTAATAGTTGGATTGCACATTAATAGTTATATGCTCAACACGCCCCACACGTGTGCGGTGGGTTCCAAGCAACACGTGGACCGTAGTCGCTTATCGGGTTACGTAGAGATTCATGACCTTTGGTCTGCCTCTGATACCAAATTGAAGCATGTGTTCCATGTCTAAGCTGATAGTTAGATTGCACATTAATGGTTATATGCTCAACACGCCCCCAAGCAACACGTGGACCGTAGTCGCTTATCGGGTGACGTAGAGATTCAAACCCATGACCTTTGGTCTGGCTCTGATACCAAATTGAAGCATGTGCTCCATCTCAACTAAAAGCCTAAGCTGATAGTTGGATTGCACATTAATGGCTGGGTTCTCTTATACGAGAAGAGACAATATCAAAGTTGAATAGTTCAGACTGGAGATAGAGGCTCGAAGGTACTATTTCATATACTCTAAAAATTTAATTTGTTGTGCATGCTTACCAATCTTATTTCGTTTTCTTTCATATATCTTCAAAACTATATATTATGCTTTATGAAACTTGAAAAGTGTTAGAAATTTTATTTGAATTCTTCTTTAATTTATCTTTGCAGCTGTTGTTTCATTTAAAGAACAAGCTGAAGTACTACAAGAATTTGATATGTACGTCGAGATTTTAATTCGTTTTATATCCTCTGTTTCCTGGATGGAGTGAAAAAAATGTTCAGGTCGGTGCCACTTTTTCTAATGTTTTACAAAATATTCTCTTTCGCATGTGAATTGGCTAAAGGCCATCTATCTAATCACTCTCTTTGGGGAAAAGTACAGGTCCAGCAGCAGGTTCTTGATGTTATTACCCACACTGCCTCAAAAGCATCAAATCTTCCTAAAGCATGTGTCCAGTCATACCTTAAAGGTCACTTTAATTTATTTCTCTTCCATTCCCACTCTATTATTTGCTTCTACCAAATTTGCTGTGCTTTTTGTCTTCCTATTTCTAAACTATGCATGCATGCATGCGGTGTTACATGCATTGCTGAAAGAGTAGCTGATATTGAAACTCGTGCTCAAGTCATGAAATGTCTCACTTGTTTCTGTGAAGCTGTGAGTCTTGGATTTGTTTTTGAGAAGGTATGTACCATTTAACTCACATGCATTGGTACCGTTGTGCTTAATGGCTTTAGATGCAAATTAATATGTGCTTATTGTGCAAGCCTAATTCGGAAAATTTTCTTCCTTCACTCAACATGTAATGTTTGCTATGTTGGCAATTCAAAAATACTGACATCTGCATGGTCTTAATCTTTAAACTATGTGATAATGTGATATCACTACAAGAAAAATGCACATAGACAACACTAGAAAGACAACAGTTTTTAAGAAAAGTGTTGTCTTTTGTATAAAAGACAACAGTTTGGTCCAAAACCGTTGTCTTTGATGCAACACTTTTGTCAAAGACAACGGTTTTTACTTAACCGTTGTTATAAGTGTGTTGTCTTTGTGCATTTTGTGAAAAGACAACACCACAACGACAACGGTTTTTAAAAACCGTTGTCTATGTGCGTTTTTTTTTTAAATAAGACAACGGTTTTTTTAACTGTTGTCGTTGGTGTGTTGTCTTTAAGCGCACTGGAATACACAACACTAGAAAGACAACGGTTGTTTAAAACCGTTGTCTTTGTGCGCTCTTTTTTTAAAAAAAGACAACGGTTTTATTTAACCGTTGTCGTTGGTGTGTTGTCGTTAAACACAATCGAATACACAACACTAAAACGACAACGGTTTTATAAAACCGTTGTCTTTGCATGTTCGTTATTTGTTTAAGACAACGGTTTTATTTAACCGTTGTCTTTGGTATGTTGTCTTTAAGTGTATTTGAATACACAACACTATAAAGACAACGGTTTTAAACAACCGTTGTCGTTGCGCATCATTATTTAACAGGTATATAAAATAAAAATGAAGATGTTAACTAGAAGAGTCGAACCTATGACCTCATGCTTAACAAGTACACAATTTTACCAACTACACAACACAACCTCTTATGTTTAAAAGTGCAACATCTGGTATATAACTGGGTTGCTTCTGTGTTGTTTGTGAAAACCAAGACAACAATTTTAGAAAATAGTTAAAGAATTCCCCCCAAGAAGAATAGAACCTAGGACCACTAACATAATAAACTAAGTTAAACCCACCAAGCGACAACAACACTTATGTAGACTACAAGAAAAACAGCTTTTAGTGACAAAAATTTAGTGACGGGTAAAAAAATCCCTCATTAAATGTATTGTTTGCATAATTTTTGTGACGGTTAAAAATTACTCTAGTTAAAAGTTTATGATTTAGTGACGAAATTTTAATTTTATATTTATATTAAAAATATACTCTCACTATTAGTACAAAAGATGTGTTACTCTCACTAACAAGCTAAGGTTAGCTATATGTTGGTAATCGACCCTTCCGGCTAGCGCATGACTAACAAGGTTGAAACTGTTGGTAATCGACCCCTCCGGCATGCCTGAAACACGTTGAGAATGGATATGAAAGAGTAGTTGATCGATGCCGTACAATTTTCTATATCCCATTTCTTTTGCCGCCGCGATCTTAATTAGCTGTATGTCATAATTACCAAACTATATATTCATAATTTTTGAATTGAAATGCATATTCATAATGATTGAATAACTCTGATCTATATTCACATACAATTACAGAACGTTGTGTTTATAATTTGCGATGTTCATATTCCCAAGTGTTTATAACTATACATTTTAGAAATTGTGAATCAACAATACAGAAATTATGAATCTGCAGTATAGAAATTATGAATTTACTATATATAAATTATTAATCTATACAACTGTATTTAAATTAGAAATTATGAATCTACATTATAGAAATCTATGAATCTCGTGTTCTGTACCTATATACCCGATTCTATTTTAATTGACCGGATGTAGCGACTCGAGTAATTAAATTATTATTTTGTTATGAAATTTCCCTCTAAGCTAAGACAAATTAAAATTTCCCTCTAAGACAAACTTGGGAAATTTTTGTCTTCCCTCCCAGACAAAAGAGCGCAAAATTAGGGTTAGTCCAAAATTGTCTCCGCCACGCCAGTCTTCCCTCTCCGCCACGCCAGTCTTCCCTCTCCGCCACGCCAGTCTTCCCTCTCCGCCACGCCAGTCTTCCCTCTCCGCCACGCCGGTCTTCCCTCTCCGCCACGCCAGTCTCCGATAACCTCCTCGTGTGCTCTCCGCCGACGGCGTACCGCCCTCGCCGACCGCCGACTGCGTACCGCCCTCGCCGACCGCCGACCGCGTACCGCCCTCGCCGACCGCCGACTGCGTACCGCCCTCGCCGACCGCCGACCGCGTACAGGAGAAAACACGTGTGCGAGCTACTCTTCCTTCTGAACCACAGCGCATGAATGGAAGGTATAAGCTTATATGGCTTTGTGTTTTTCATGCTCTGTGTTCAAACTTTGGTCCTATGCTCTGAATATTTGACCTGATGTTTCAGGCCGGCCCTTTGTTACTGGTACACTCTTCATAGACATGTAGTATCTGTTAGTTCATTGATTGGATTGGACATGATTGATATAAAAGATGGGAATAGAGTAGGAGGAAAACAAGTTGCAGTTTGAGAAAGCAAACCTTAAATCTTTTGATCACAACCTTAAATCTGTTGAGATATAGCCACATAAAAGCAGTGGGAGTGCAGAACAAAGTCCTTGTACATAATTGAGGAAGCTTGTAGTATTTGATCCTTCTGTTGACTGTTTGAGTAATAGAAATTGATGTAATTAGTTTGTAACATTCTGCAGATGGTTGAACTAGGAAGACTGAGGAGGAGGATAATACACTGAGAGCTGCTGTGGAAGCTTTTGGTGAGAGTAATTGGCAGGTTGTTGCTGCTTCCCTTGAAGGACGGACAGTTACCCAGTGCTCCAATAGGTCAGTTATATTTTTTAATGGTTAGAGTTTGTCATGGCATGTTTATTATTGAGGTTGAGGTAATCAAACTATTCTATGTGATATTGGCACTAGGAAATCTTAGTTTTTTGCAGAATTATATTGCTTAATTTGTTCTGAGGTAACTGCCACATTAAGGTTATGATTGATACTTTTTAATGAATTCAAGTGTTATCATTTATTCTGCCTAATCTGTTGTGAAAGGATTCACATGTGGTTGAAAGTAAATTTGTAGTTATATGAGTACTTGAGCCTTTGACTACACATTGCAGTTGAATGAAATAGAGTATACTTATGCAGATTTACTTCAAGGTATTAATGAAGTTATTGTATTCTTAAGTCTGTAATATGTATGGTGGTATTTATATCTCTCTCTTTTGCCATTCCACCATGTCAGACCTCTCTCAAACCTTACTACTCCTTGCTCCATTTATACCTCCCCTCAGATTCTTCCTATCACTTCCATTCTCGTTACTTTTTCTAGCAGCCCTATTTGTTCTAGAACCTGCAACAGTATCCTCACCAAAAAAATACACTAACAGTATAGTATATATATATACTCTAACAACACTAATTAGTATATATATTTTATACTGTTAGTATAGAATATATATTCCGTGTCAACATTAATTATAAAACATATATATATTTCATCACACATATATATAGTATACTGTTAGTGTGTGTGTGTACATATATATATATATATATATATATATATATATATATATATATATATATATATATATATATATATATATATATAGTTAGTTAGTTAGTTAGTTAGTATTTTAAGTATGTGGTTTTTGTTTTGCTAGTTACTACTAATTGTATAATTATATTCATTTAATAAGTTTTTGTTTTGGCAATATATGACCGATGCATGCAGCAGGTACCAAATAAGTATGTGGTTTTTGTTTTGGTAGTTACTACTAATTGTATAATTTTTAAGCGATATGAATTTATTTTTCTTGTCACTTGACTGTTTTGTAGCATTGGTGTATAAATAAACAATGGACAAAGAATGGATGTCAAAAGATAGATTATGTTATGAATATGAGGTTGGAGTAGAATCTTTTTTACAATTTGCTAAAAAAAATGCCGTTGATCCTAATTCAATATCATGCCCATGTGCAATATGTGGCAACCTAAGGAAGCAACCTCTTGATACTATAAGGGCACACTTGTACCGTAATGGAATGGATGGAACGTATGTGTCATGGATATGGCACGGGGAGAAGGCTACGTTAAACAACTCAATAGATGATGGCGGTCTAATTAGGGGAGAAGAGCATAATCGTGTTGATGAAAATCCTATAGATATGGTAAATGCTGCTTATGACGAATACGTTGAGGATCCCAACAAATTTAGTAAATTACTAGAAGATGCAGAGAAACCGCTATACGTTGGATGTACTACGTTTACAAAACTATCAGCGGTAGTGAAGTTATATAACTTGAAGGCAAAATATAGTTGGAGCGATGCAAGTTTTACGGACCTTCTGGATTTGTTTGCAAAAATGCTTCCAACTGACAACGTACTGCCTTCTTCTTTATATGAGGCAAAGAGAAGCTTGGTTGCATTGGGAATGGACTACGAGAAAATACACGCGTGTCCCAATGACTGTATCTTATATCGTAAGGAGAATGCAAATTGTACTAATTGCCCTACTTGTGGAACTTCAAGGTGGAAGATAGGCAAGAATTCTAAGATATCCATAGGAGTTCCTGCAAAGGTGTTATGGTACTTTCCACCGATACCAAGATTTCAAAGAATGTTTAGGAGCAAGGATATATCTAAGGAGTTAACTTGGCATAGTGATAATAAAGTTTGTGATGGTTACTTGCGTCATCCAGCTGATGCACCTTGTTGGAGAACAGTAGATGAAATGTGGCCAGATTTTGCTAATGAGCCAAGAAATCTTAGATTGGCTTTATCTGCAGACGGGATAAATCCCCATAGTGTAATGAGTTCTACATATAGTTGTTGGCCAGTCATCATGATTACATACAATCTTCCTCCTTGGATGTGCATGAAGCGAAAATTCATGATGCTCAGTTTGTTGATTTCTGGTCCTAAACAACCCGGGAATGACATTGATGTTTATTTGGCACCTTTGATTGACGATTTAAAAGTGTTGTGGGAAGAAGGTATAGAAGCATATGATGCATACCGACAAGAAAAATTCGTCCTTAAAGCTGTTTTACTATGGACGATCAATGATTTCCCAGCATATGGGAACTTATCAGGTTGCACTGTCAAAGGATATCATGCATGTCCTATCTGTGGTGAGAATACATATGCCAAGAGGTTGAAGCATAGTAAGAAAATGGCATTCACAGGACATAGAAGATTTTTATGTAAAACTCATCCTTATCGAAGGCAAAAGAAGGCATTTGATGGTAAGCAAGAATTCGACTTAGCACCCAAACCATTGAGTGGCCATGATGTTCTGAAAACAGTTGAGGGGATCAATTGTAGTTGGGGAAAAAACAGTGGCAAGCTAAATGCTAAAAGAAAAATTAGTGAATCATGTTGGAAAAAGAAATCAATTTTCTTTGAGCTTGAGTATTGGAAGCATTTGCATGTTCGGCATGTTCTTGATGGCATGCACATTGAGAAAAATGTGTGTGAAAGTATTATTGGCACATTACTTGACATCCCAGGAAAAACCAAAGATGGGGTAGCTGCTCGACTAGACCTTGTGGAAATGAATGTGAGAATGGAGTTGGCACCAAAACAAGGGGAGAAGAGAACGTTTTTGCCACCTGCTTGCTATACCCTAAGCAAAGATGAGAAAAAGAAAGTTTGTAACTCTTTGTTACATATGAAAGTCCCATCAGGCTATTCATCTAATGTGAGAAACCTTGTCAATGTGAAGGAGTTGAAACTTGTTGGTCTTAAATCTCACGATTGTCACACTTTCATGCAACAGTTGCTTCCAGTTGCTATTCGAGGTGTGTTACCCAAACATGTAAGGTATGCTATCACTCGGTTGTGCTTCTTCTTTAATGTCATATGTAGCAAAGTGATAGATTCCTCAAAGTTAGATGCGCTACAAGATGAGATTGTGACAACGTTGTGTTTGCTTGAAAAGTACTTTCCTCCTTCATTTTTTGATATAATGGTTCACTTAACTGTTCATCTTGTGAGAGAGGTCAAATTGTGTGGACCAGTGTGGTATAGATGGATGTACCCATTTGAAAGATATATGAAAATCTTGAAAGGTTATGTGCGAAATCGCAATCGACCAGAAGGTTGTATAGCCGAGTGTTATATTTCTGAAGAAGCTATAGAATTTTGCTCAGAGTATTTGACTGATGTACAAACAGTTGGGATCCCATCAACATTTCAAGAAGTGGTGCGAACTCGGCCTTTATCAGGTGCTCAAGTGCAATCCATTAGCCAAGAGGAGTGGGAGCAATCACATCGTTATATTTTGGCAAATGATGTAGAAATAGACCAATATGCCAAGTAATTTTTCCAAGTCTTATAAAACTTCCAATATATTGTTTATATTGTAGTGGTTAATTGACTTTGGTCAAATATCGTTTGTTAGGGAACACAAGGCACATTTGAAGGCTACATTGCGCGGTAAAGTTAGGACAGAGAAGGGGCTACTTGATGAGCATAACCGCACATTTATTAATTGGTTACGTGATCGTGTAAGTTGTATAACTATGACTAGTACAAAAAATAAAAGTCACTGGTTTTATTATCATATACTAATTTTAAAGTGCTTTCATTTTTAAGGTTGGAAGAGCAATAAATGATTCCACCCATGAAATATCAGAAAGACTAAAATGGTTGGCACATGGTCCTCGGAACCAAGTGTTAAAGTACTCTGGTTATTTAATTGAAGGAGTTACTTTTCATACCAAAGATCGTGATAATTTGCGAGCTGTCCAGAACTCAGGCGTAAGCTTAGTTGCAAATATAATGCAAGTTTCTAGTGCAAAGGATAAGAACCCCATTGAGTCAGATATGGTATTTTATGGAGTTATTGATGAAATATGGGAGCTTGATTACCATACCTTTCGAGTTCCTGTGTTCAAATGCAATTGGGTTGAGACTAACAATGGTATTAAAGTAGATGATCTTGGTTTCAAATTAGTAAACCTCGATAGGATTGGATTCAAATCTGATTCTTTTATCTTAGGGAGTCAAGCCAAGCAAGTATTTTATATTCAAGACCCTCAAGATCCTATATGGTCTGTCGTGCTCGCAACTCCTAGTCGGGATTACTTTGAATATCAAGATGGGAA